TCCCAGATCTCCACCCAGGTAAGTAGTGAGACGATGAATCCAGGCTTCCGTTTGTTAATAAGTATATACAGGTCGCCAGCGTTCAACTATTGCTGCCGCAGGCGTAGCCCCTTCAGGCAAATACTCCCTGGACCACGTAATATTCTCAGACATCCCAGAATCAGGCGATTCAATCAGCGCTTCGGAAGTCTCTGGATCTGTTGGTGGTGGACCTCTAGCTCTACCCGTCGTTACAGCCACGCAATTTCGAGAGGGGGCACTAACGGATTAGCCGCAACTTCCACTGATACAGATTCAGAGGTTGGCAAACAGAAGCTTACACACTCCGTTCGTCGTTGCGTCTCTTTGGGCATAAATTATTCTGATTTCGTGGCTTAATTCTCAGACCCTGTGCCTTCCAAAGCAGGCTGCTTCACCAGTTTCTAGGGTATTATATTCATCTGTTTCAACTGAGCTAATTCAATCGAATCTAAAAATTCCACGGAATTCCAGGACAAGTCACATAATCAGCAGCGGCATGATACTCCCGTTTTACATGCACTAATCGCACAGACTTGAACTCTTTGCGCGGACTTTCGAACTGGTCAAGCAACAACTGCAATCCAGGGTTTAGACATGGGATAAGTCCCTGCGCTTGTTGAATAGCTATCCGGAAATCACCTACGATGATTAATTCCCGGATCCCTCGATCCAACACCATCTTTAAATCCTCAACCATGCCATGATACTCAGCTTCATTCACGCTGATACCTTCAAAATGAAATCTTCGAGCCGCAACCACATCCCAGGTAACTTCCAGATAATACCCTCAGAACTCCCTTGTCGATCTGAAGTTCTAGCTGAACCATCAAAACTTAGATGTCAACTTGCACATCCTGATTTTAACATCTCGAGATTAATAGGAGGTGCGCTAACCATTCGGTCTTTCGCCAGGATGAGATTCTTAGCGATTTGATCGAGTATGTCACGCAGGGTGATCCCAGCTCCCAGAATCGATGCTAGTCCATCCTCGTCATTCTGAATGTTGTGTACTTCAAGCGACCAGGGTGCCAACCTAGCTGTCCATTTCTCACAACGACCTTCTAAGAACTTATACTTGAACAGCCATCTCATAACTAAATAGTGCGTATACACCTTTAATCTGGCGTTGCCCACTAACATAAGGTAGAATACTCTGAGAACACTGAGTAATCCCACTATTTTCTTCTCTGCCTGGTAATGGCGTAATGCTTGATCTTGCAGTACTCTGCCTGTGAACCGGACTGGGTATATCATTTCATCATATTCCTGACCCAGCACAGCACTCACCGCCCAAAGAATTGCATGCAGAATGATAATGAATGGCCTCTCCCTGTCTGGATGTCTCAGTATCGGAGTGGAAACAATATTTTGTTTGAGAATCTCAAAAGCTTCCATTGCAGGTTCCAGGCCTCTACCAGCTCGGGTCTGCTCGTCCGGTAATTCATACAGGACAGCGGCGACCACTGCGAGATTCTCTATGAACTTATTGTAGTAGTTGAGGCTTCCCAGAAACGATAGCGCACCCTTGAGCGCGGTCGGGAACGGCAGATACCAGACACCTTTTGCAATCTTGGGTTTGGCTCTGATCCCTTCCGCACCAATTTCGTGTGACCGATAAGAGATAATTATCTTGCCAAACTCACTCTTCGAAATACTCACAGAGATTCCCCGTATCGCAATCGATAGAACAACCGATCTAGATCAATACACATTTGATCCCAGGTTTCCGCTCCATACGCGTTATCGTCTATATACGAACTTCGTCCCAGAACAGGTCTGAGCTCTGCAGGAGCGGGGATATTCCTCCGAATACTGTTAAATCTTCAGTCAAAGGAGACAATTCTTGTCTTCCCACTTTATTCTCAGACTTGATCCCTAATAATTTTAGGACTTCCGAGTCCGCCTTAGCTTCTTCAGGAGGAAGTCGCACAAAACACCAAAGGCAGTTGTCTAACATTTGCTGATAATTCAACGGCGCATTTTGGAGTCCAAATGGCATTCTATTCCACTGAAAGTGACCTAGGGGGCGCCAAAAGCCGATATGTGCTGCGCGCTATGAGTCATAGGCACAGCCCAGATTCCACTAGCCATGTCCAAACTCAGCAACCACATTACATTCTCAAACCCGATCTATAAATCGTCAATCAAAGACAGAGGGTAGTGCATATACCTGACCAGCTGGTTTACCAATCGATAGTCAATACAGAGTCAGATGTCCACTCCGTTCTTTTCATCACAATGACAATAGGAGAAGCCCATTCAGAATCAGAATATTCGATCAGCTTGGTCTCTGACTGCTTCTTCAACAGGTCATTTATTATCTGCAGTTGATGTTGGGGCACCTGCCTAGACATTTGAGCAATAGACTTGGCTCCACTCACGTCCTGAGCAGAGACGACATCTCTCGCTGGTGTAGGCACACCATTTCCGTCTCCTAGAAGAGACTTATGATGCTTTCCAAGTAGCTCGTACTTTAGCATCCATTTCTTGGGTAGTTTCTTCAGGCTCGCCGATACTAGCAATGTCTAAATCCGCAACAGGGCTCAGATCCTTTAATTCTGGGAGGGCAGCCAACTGATCTTTGAGGTCGCTTAACAGTTCACTCCCTTCATGGAAGAATAGGATGGCTTCTTCCTCAACATCCGCTACTTCCATTCTCAAACAACGCGAGAAGATATCAAATGGACGAGAGCTCCGTTCATTACCTTTTCACCAGGTTGCAGCATGAACCCCAAAGGATTCTCAGAGTTCTCAGCTGATCTCAGATGTTCTGCATCAGGTTCGATAGATAAGACACGTTCTTCATCAAGGGGGAACATCGAATTTTATTACTGCGCCTACACGAAAGGGTGGGGCCCACATATATAAATGCGCAGTATTCTGAGGGCTTAGGCTCGGCGCGCACTGATTCCCCAATCAGCAAGCCTAGTGGTTTAACGGCTTCTCAGACTCGGGACGTTCCAGCAAAAGGTGCTGGACTACTTTCAGGGAGAGATTTTCCAGAGATCCCCCAGAGTTGATAACGTCGCGGACCTCCTTCAGGGCCGACCACATATCACAGAATCCTCAGTGATGGTACTCGTCACATTTGGGACACGGCTGGCGCCGACAGAATTGGGTAGGGTGTCTCACGGCATCGACCCACCGCAGCGACATGTAGAAGG